GCTGGAAGTTTTGTGGCGCTGTAGGAGCCGCTCCGGTTGTCTTCAGCTTCGGATTCATGTGTGGGTGATCGCGGTTCTCCGTCGCCATCTTGGACCCGCATGTTTGCTGCTTGCTGTGTACTTAAAAGTGAGTCCATCGTTTTTTGCTTCAATTTCTTACCAGATTTGGTCGACATGTTAGTCTCTGTGTACCTGGCAGCAAGTTAGGCTATTTTTTGTGAGATTGTTGCTGTTAACCTCGCTGATGGGCCCACAAAACGGCGGAGCTGTCGGTTTATGCGACTGCTTCCATGCAGTCCGTGGCCACGCCACCCATGAAATCATTTTTTAAATGATGATTGACATATAATATAATAAGATAGTTTTACATGTTTGAGTTTGGGAATCACATAACTTTTGAAACACATTCACATTTAGCTTTCAGTTGTCTTAAACTCAATTTATATCAAATTTATATTGATTTCTAAATACATAATGCATCACCTTCATCCTATAATGAGTATACTATCCAAAGGTTAAAATTCAGTATGTGCAACTCTTTAGATGACAAGATACTCACAGCTGACTGACAGAATTTCTTTGTTTCCTTAATCAGCTTACAACAGCCCAAAATCTGTTGTAATTCTCATTTCTAAATTTCAATTATGACTTCTATCTACTTCCAGCCGATTTTGTGTTTAGTAATTGTAAGAGCACTCCCAATCCCTCGTCTCTGGTAAACACATTTTTCATCTTAAAGAGTTCTGTATTCTTCATTATGACATACTTTTAAGGAGGCAGTGTTGTATGCTCGCTAAAGACAAATTATGCTTTTACTTACAGTTAAGAGAGACACATAAGTGGGTTTAAAAAAAAAAAATTAGTCATTGCTGTCCTTGAAGAATAGCAGCTGGGATTTGATGCTATGCTTCTATTTTATTTTATTTGTGTAATTATTTTAATTGATGACTTCATCTTTTGTGATAGTCAAGTAATATTGTTGTGTTCCTTGCATAAACTAAAATGTGGAGGTGTGCTAAATAATATTTATTCCTTACTAAATATATTTAAGTTTATTCTGGTTTATCCCATGTCAAGCATTATTGAAGGGACATGCATCACTTGATAATTATTATTTTTACGTAAATGTGATTTTTATTGTTTTCAGTCAGCAGTTACACAGAACAATTGAGCAATCCAAACAGTGAGGCGCGCAGGCCTCCAAGAATGTTAGGAATTAGTGGTACATTAAGGTAGCATGCGTTGGACTCGCAGGTCCGCTTGAATTAGGCATGACATTTTCGGGTCATATTTCGTGGACCCTTATTAATGACAAGGTGTGTCTGCCTGTGCGTGTGCAGTGATATTATATGGGATGGAGTGCCCTCATTGAACTATGTGACTATGATTTGTATCTGCATGTGCAGTTGTCCAAAAAATTTTCATGTAGATACGGTTTTCCTTGCTTTTTGCTGGATTTGTGCATGACAGTATTATTGTGTAACAATTGAACTTTTTAAACAGCGAGGATCGCAGGCCTCCAAAAACTGTGGAAACATTTAGTCATTATATATAGCATGCATTGGACTCGCTGGTCCCTTTGAGTTAAACCTGTCTTTTCTGAGTTTCATTTCGCTATCCTCTGATGATGGTCAGGTTTCGATTTCTTGGTATGTGGGTCGACCCAGTTAGGGGGTGTGGTGTCTCTAGTGATATATGTGGATGTGGTTGGTTTCTGTTCATGTGGTTATCTATGTTGTTATTACAGTGTGTGTTCTAGAGTAGGCTCGGTTTTTATTTCTTGTTTGTTACGTATGTCGGTAAAGTATTGATATTGATTCATTAGTCACTTCAGGTAGTAGAGTTCATAGTCTGCCATGAGTGTGCGGGGGTATTACTCTTCCTGTATGATATGTGGTGGTCTCGAAGGTGTATAGAGGGTGATCATGTCTTCGGTCTATTGTTTTTCTTTTGCCTCAGTTGTTAAAGTGACGGGGTGTGGGTGGTTACAGTGAGGGGGAGGGGTGTGTTTGTTGGTGTATGCCTCGTGCCTATGGGCGTATGGGTCTTCAGGTAGTGGGGCGCTCGCGTCTTTGTTCGGGTTGGTGTGGCTGGTGTCTTGAGGGTGTTTTGTTAGAATTTTCTGGGTCCTCCCAGGTGTGGTTTGTCATGTTTGGGTTATTTGTATCCCCTCATGTTGGGGCGATTTGAGGTGATGAGTGGTGGTAGGCGTGCTTGCGTGGTGTTCTCTTTATGTCGTATGTTCGTGTCAGTTGCTCGGGTGTGTGTTATCTTTTTCTGTTATCTTTTTCTATGGGTTGTGGTCTTTTGCTTCACATACTGTGTTGGCCTCTTATATGTCCAGTCGTGTTGTAAATTTTGTTGTTGTCTGAGATATGTGTGTTAGTTCGGTCTCTGAGTTTGGTGAGGTTATGTCTGTTATGCTGAGTGTCTGGTTCATGGGCTTGGCGCGGTCCTATTGAGTGTGTGGGTATTTCCCGGGGGGTGATCGTTCCAGTGTTGTGTGGGGTACATTATTAGGCATGTCAGACTGATCGTGATTGTGTGGTGATATTCATGTGTGTGCTTGTGTGTTGTGGAGGGTGTGTGTTAAAATATGTTGATTATGTATCGTTTGGGTGCTGTGTGATGTTGGCGTTTGTGGGAGTTGGTGTGTGGTGTTGTGTAGAAGGTTGGGTGGGGTGGGGTAGGGCTGGGAAGGAGTGGAAATGCGCTCGGTGTGGTGCGGGGAGGGTGAGTCCTCCCCCTCAGTCTCCATGCCCCCCGGCCACGCTCCACACGCCCCGTCTTGCCATGTAGATTATCCATGGTTGCCATTTGTCTGGTTAGCCATTGTTCCATCGAGGGGACTTGTGTTTGTTTCCAGAGAGTAGAGATGAGTGCCTTGGCTGTGTCAAGGAGGTGGCGTAGGATGGATCTTTTGTATTTCGAGATCGAGTCTCGTGTGTGGTGAAGGAGTACATTTTCCATGGTCAGTTTTGTCGCATCCCCTATGACATCCCTGATGCGGGCTGTAATCTGGTTCCAGAATGGTTTGCTTTTGGTGCATTCCCACCAGATGTGTTTTACGGTGCCCACGTCCGTCTCGCACCTCCAGCACGTCGCTGGGGTGTTGGGAAATATTCTGTGTAGGAGATCTACTGTCACTATTAGTGGCTAAAGCAATGTAGACAACATAAGGGTTAGTTTAAAAGAAAGGTAAAAGGATAGAGAAGAGGGGAGGAAAGGGAAAGGAAAAAAAGAGAAAAAAGTATTTTATGAATGTGTGTATTAGTTATCACTGTAACTTATTTTATATAATTTAAGATACATGAACTATATAAGATAGGCTATGTCTTGGAATTTAGGCATATGTAAAGTGATGAACTATATGCTATCATATTGATGTTATGTACAGAGACAAGTGACTTTGTTTGGCTGTTTTTCCCTCCCTCCCTCCCTCCCTCCGTCCCTCCCTCCCTTTTTTTTTTTCTGTATCCCTTATTATTTGAAAAAGATAAAATAAAAAAGTAAATTGTAAAAAATAAAATAAAAAAAAAAAACAAAAAAAAAACTTTATATTATCCCCTCCCCCTTACTTTTAGTCATGGGGGAGGGGGAACGGCTACTCTTCAATTTCTTGTGGTCCAGTGGTGGCGCGTGGAGTTCTCCTCCAGCGAGAACAGCAGGCAGGTCGGAGCGTTGCCATGGTAACGCACAGTAACGCTCCAACCTGCCTGCTCGCAGGAGGAACGTTCTCGCTTGCAGGTTCCTGTCAGACCGGGTAGGGGAACAGAAGCTCCCCTACTGCGGTCTGCCTGCTCGGCCACGCTACATTCTGTGACTGGCAGGAGGGAGCCCACCCCCTCCTTCCGGTCACCCTGTAATGGTGGCCTGGGCTGGTGCACAATAGGCGTCCGCGCACCAGCCCCCTAGTGTGCCGGCCCACCGGGAAATTTCCTGGTATCCCGGTGGGCCAGTCCGGCCCTGTCACCGTGTATTGTCATCCGCTTTAGAGCATGGTTTCTTTTCTACCCCTTTTGCCGGTACCGGACTGGGGCATTCATCCCCCTAGGTGTGCTACTAATCTGTGTAAGAACATCATGTGTAGTTTATTGAGTAAAGGGGCCTCCCTACTCCCGTTCCCCATTGCCCTCAGCCCTCTTTTTTTTTTTAGTAGGGGGGTAAAAATTTGTTGCGTGTGGTTCCCTCTTGTCCCCTCTCCTCCTGCCCCCGCCCCACTCATCATCCCCTCCCCTCCTTATTTCCCCATTTTACACTCCTCCCTGTGCTCAGATTGTGTCCTGCTTAATTCTCTAGGTCCTAATCCTTTCCCTTTGCCATTTGCATCTTAGTGGAAGGTTGGTTCCATGTTCCCTGTGCTCTCTTTGTTGGTGTGGTATGGGGGGGGGGGGCAGTGCCGGGTTATACTATTGACGGAAGTGGCTTGCTCAGGGACTATTCTCCATGTGTGTGTGGTGATGGCTTAGTGAGGGCGAGGTGGGGAGTGTGGTGCATCTGTGCCATCCCTTTAGCAGCAGGTGGGGTCGTATCTCCTCTATTTAGCTATATAGTCTATCACTCCCAGGGTAGGTCCACGTTTTCTGGTGTGGGTTCAGGTAAGGGGTAAGCCCTTATATTCATCCACTCCCGGGGGGACCCCCATCCCAAATCTATGCTAGAGCCCAGCAGTCCTATTGTCAGTGTACCTTTTTTTATTTTTCTCTGTAGTCTGTTGTGCAGTCTGCTCGCTTCTCAGTTCTGGGTGTCAGCAGTGGTGGTGGTTTGAGACCGTGGGGGCTGCGGGAGCGGTCTTAGGATGTCTATTGGTGGGATAGTCATTCCTCTGGGCCAGTCAGGTCCGCCTGGCAGTTCCGTGTAGGTCATCCAAAGGAGTTCCATCTTCTCCGTCGTGCCTGTCGTTGAGGTTGTGGTCTGGGTTCCAAAGGCAGTAGAACCCAGTTAGGGACAGGTGTCGGTGGCAGATCTAGGTGTTGGAGAAATTGGGGTATTTCCTCAGGTCATCTGGCGGAGACCCATTCATTGTTGTGACGGACCGTGATGCTAAATGGGTAGTCCCATTTGTATGGCATATTCTTCTCTCGGAGAATGGTGGTAATTGGCCTCAGGGCCCTCCTTGCCTCTAGGGTCAGCGGTGATAGGTCGTTATATAGGGATACCTCTGCTCCACGGTAGTTCCAGAGAGGTCTAGGTCTGGCTTTGGCCATGATCAATTCCTTCAGGGGGAAGGAGTGTAGGCAGCAGATAATGTCCCTGGGTGTCCCTTCCGCGAGCCGCGGCTGCAGGGCTCTGTGTGCTCTATCATATTTAATGTGGGCTGGTGCTTCTTCACGAAGGATTATGCGGAATAGGGGGGTGAGTATTTCTTCTATATTCCCCCCCCCCTCTGTAGGCTCAGGTATCCCTCTCACCCTGATATTATTGCGGCGGCCGCGATTATCCTGATCTTCCAGTTGCCGTCTCATGGCTAGAAGGAGAGCTCCTTGGCGTTTTAGGGCTGTGTCTGTGGCTGTGGAGTGATCCTCTGCTGTCTGTGCTTTTTGTTCCAGTTGCAGGATGCGGGTTTCCTGTGCTTTAATCTCTCCCTTCAAGTCGGCCATTTCTGTTTTAATTGCTTCGTGGAGTTTAGAGGATAGGTGTGTGAGGTCATCTTTAGTGACCATTGCTGTTGCTATGCGTTCTAATTCCACTCCGATGTCGGCTAGTGTGGTGCCGTCTGAGCTGGAGCATGTGGAGATCGGAGAGGTGGGCGCCATATTTGGAGTCTGGGCCTCGTGAGTAGGCCCGGCCGGGGTACTGAGGAAGCCGTCCATCGGACCCGAGAGCGGCCCTGAAGAGGTGTTTCTGCGGGTCTGGGGGTGTTCAGCACGCTTAGTGCGCACCATTTGTGCGGGTAAGTGCAGGGTTTCAGTGCGGTTTGCTGATGTTAGTGCTGGTGTGGAACGGAGCAGCGCGGTTAAGCGCCCATGTCCGTCGGTGCCCAGGCCACGTCCCCCAATTATTATTTTTACAAACTAGGCTGTTATCTTTGTTTAACCATCTACTGCTGTTTTACCAATTTTATTTGATTAATATTAAAAACCACTATTATATACTACAATTCGGAGTCCTGATTTCCTGCTATCCTGCAGACAGCGGAGAGGGATCCATAGAGTCCCAATTACATCAGGGGAGGCACCCTTTGATCACATAACACATCTGTGACGAAGTGCCCTTCGCCACTTGTGCCTGGAGAGGACTGCTTGCCCGCCTCTTGCCCTGTGACTATGGCCCCTGGTTTGTATTGCCCTTTAAAGACATGATTTGGGCATAATGGATTTGTGTTGTGCTGCTGCTGGCCCTTTAAGAACCATCTGGGGACATACTGTGGAGTTACTGGGTGGCCACCATTTCCTGTATCAGAAGCACATGGTGAGAACAATGGATGGCGGCCATTTTAACTCACAGACACTGTGTGGACTTTTCAACACGGTGCCATCTCGCCAGTATTTGTTGCACAGAGACATCGTGCGGTGGTTTTGGACTATACAGCAGGGGGCACATTATACAGTGATTGTTTTTCATTTAGCCTGTATATGTTTTGCAGAATCTGCATTAAACTGTATTTTCCAAAGTACTGAACGGATCTGGGTGAATTTTGGATATGCGGTTCACCCAGATCCCCCGGTTCCAAGGATATACTTTTTATGGGGTTATTGCATGTTTTGGGGTCCCTGTGTGTTTTATGAAATTGTAATGTTTCTGGCCAGCAGATAATTGAGCTTTGTGTATTATAGAAACTCAATTATCTAGCCTGGCCCAGAGGAGGAGTTTTGTGTTGCATAAATTGTGAGTTCTGTGTGCCAGTAAATCAGTCTTGTTCCAGCATTAAGCCTTGGCTCATGTTTGGGGGAAGGGATACCTACACTCTGGGGATTGCTATAATCACTTACTCCCCAGAGGAAGCTCTTGCAATAACTTGATTTGTTCCTGTTCCTGCTCTCTGGGGAAAGAGAGGTTCACCCACTGGAAGCTGGATCCTGGCCTTGGGTCCAGGGTGGGTGGAAACAGCAGAGACCCCGGCGCAGTTGCATCGCTGGAAGTGGGGTCTGCAGTGCTGATGGTGTCGGTTGGAGTGCTTGGAGTCCTCAGCGAGCACTAGGAGCATCGATTGGCGGAGGTACTCAGTCGGAGTGCCAGCGTTCCGTCACAACATCTACATCTTGTGAGTGCATTTTTGTACAGTGCACATTATTTGTTAAAATTGTATTCAAATTTCAATTTAATATGACAGCAACTATATTAATTACAAAAATTTTTGAGCGGTAAAATTCAAAAAATGGGTTGCCAAGGGGTACACAAGGAAAAAATGTAGGGGACCACTGTCTTAGATATGTGAGACATTCAATCAATCAGGGCACATAAGCAGGGGCAGATCTACCATAAGGCAGCACAGGTGGTTTGGGGTATACCTTTATGTCTCTAGATGCCAGGTCCACCCCGAAAATAAAAATAAAATGTACTCACCTTTTTCTCCAGTGGCGAGCCTTCTCAAAGTTGGCCCCTAGCAGACTGAGTAACAAGTCTCTCTTACGCTATGTCTGAAAATGGCACATGCACTGAAGCTGCCACAAATGCATCAATCAAGGTAGGTTTACAGACTACACAAACGAAGACATATTTTGGGGGGCAGAACAATGCATCTTCACCTATGCGGCTCCCTTCCTATGGAATAGCCTGCCTACTGCCATCAGACTCTCCCCTAGTCTTCAATCATTTAAAAAGTGCCTTAAAACCATTTCTTTGGGAAAGCCTATGGCCTCCCAGACTAACCTCTACCTCACATACCTGTCTCTTTCTCTCTCCTAAAGTGCAGCACTCTACTCTCTCCTCCAGTTCTGCTTCACTCCACCTAATTTGACTGCAATTTCCTGTCCTGTGTTTTATACCCCACGTCCTATAGAATGTAAGCTCGTTTGAGCAGGGCCCTCTTCAACCTATCGTTCCTGTAAGTTTTCTTGTAATTGTCCTATTTATAGTTAAATCCCCCCTCTAATAATATTGTAAAGCGCTACGGAATCTGTTGGCACAATATAAATGGCAATAATAATAATAATAATAATATTATGTAACCAAAAATCTTTGCACCGGCCCTGTGCATAAGTAAATAAAATTTTGGGATGTTTTCTTCTCTCTGCTTGTTCTTGTTGTGAACAGTGCTGCGACAACTGCTGGAACTGCAAGGATCCGTCTGCTCTCTGTGATTTCAGGTAGCTGTAATGGCGTGATTCAGCTTGTGGCATTGCCTGGGGCAACGGTTTGCGCGGCTTCCTGGACCTTTTACTGGTAGGCCTCCTGGCATGCTTAGAGTAAGCCTCCGTCTCAGGTGGTGTAGTAGGGATAGGCTTGTTGTGGGACGAGAGTTAGCTGCCGGCGACAGGACTTGTGACTGTTGATCACCACCATCGAGGAGGTAGGGGACATCCGCCATCATATTATGAGGGCCTGTCTTGTGGCTGAAGTGGGCAAGCTTGCCTCCAAGCTCGACAGCACCAGAGATGTAGGTGCCGGGATGACCCTCACCGGCAGGGGTGGGGGGAGGTATGCTGCAACGGTTACTGCAACAAGCACAGCCTTCAAGGGCAGAGGGACTGCCGCCTCCCTTGTGCCCACGCGCAGTAGACCGCAACTCTGTCTGTGCCCGGAACTGCTGAAAGTAAGCAAAACCGCTTCGAGCAAGATAAGTTAGAGCTCCCATGGTTGATGTGAGTGCTGTAAATGCTAGATAGTCGATTTTGTTAGCTAAAAGTATGAAAATTGGTTCAGTTTTTCCAGAGCTTTATCAAGATGCGTCTGGTTAGCTTGGCAGTTAGACTCCAACTGTAACTTTGTATGTTGACTTGATGGTTACTTGAAGCAATGGCTACGAACAACAAATAATAATGTACATTATTCCTGGATTCTACTCGGCAGAGTGAAGGTATTCAGTCCATGACAACCTGATAGGAGCCATGATCAGATTTTCTATTTAAAAAGATAAGCCTCAGATGTGAAAATTGTACTTTGCTAATATGTCTTGCCCTGGGCCCACACGTTCTAAGCTTTTTACTCAGTTGAGTATTCAGGATTGTTGAATCTTTAAATATGTCTCACTAGTATGAAGATATAATATTTCCAAATAGCATTTGAAACTGGTTATTTCTGAGTGAAACTTAATAATAATGTCACACTAAGCCTCATTCCAAACTGTACAAAAATATTTCACCAAACGTATTTTTTTATGGTATATAACTATGTATATGAGAAACCAAATGATTTTATTACTGTGTGCCTTGCTTAACAAATATATCTTACTTATTTGTATTAGACTAATATTATTTTTCACTTTACACCTTAGTATTTTGAATGCCATACACAATTGGTAAAAATTGGATAAACCGATCAATTTATATGCCAGAAAATCCAATTCTCCAGAACATCTTATCTAAAAGAATATTATTCTTTTATATTATTATTCTGCAAAAAGAAATATAAGTAGGGGTGTTTAGTCCAATTGCAGTTTACAATGCTACAACAAGGAGTAGGTCATACTGACCAGTACCAGAACACGCATTGTACAGCAGAGTGCAATCACATTAAATAAGGAAAACCACCGCTGTATATAGGATTTTATGTAATATATACTACATATTTTTGTTCTTTGTATTAGAATATGGAAAGAGTGTCTGGATTGACATATGGTATATTAGAGATACTTTTATGAGCATTAAATAAATATAATCAATGTGTTCTATGTAAATCATACAGATATCAGCTATATAATAGAACATCAATACTTTTACAGACTACAGAAGGGCTCATTTCCAATGTTGTCTGTAGGTTTTACCAACAAGCCGTTTATTGCTATAGTGGTTGACATCAACCCCTTAAGGACGAATCCAATTGTAAAAGTTGTAATCAAAACAAAACGTAAAGAAGACCTAAAATATGCGCTATATGTGGCTCAACCATAATTCACCTCTTTCATATTAAGTGCATCCACACCTATTTAGTGATGTGCCGAACGGTTCGCCACGGACGGCGAACATAAACATAAACTTTGACCCTGTACCTCACAGTCAGCAGACACATTACAGCCAATCAGCAGCAGACCCTCCCTCCTAGACCCTCCCACCTCCTGGACAAATCAAACAAATCTCAAAACGTTAAGCATTTATCGTATGTACTATCATTAATAAACCAAATCCTACTCTGTATTTTGGCCCACCCTGTACCTTTAGAAAATACCGGGCAGGAAACTCTTGTATAAAAGAGGTTACACTGTTTCATGGGGATAACACCTTTGGGGCCAGCAGTCAGGCACTTCTCTGGATATTACAACATTGAACAAAACATTGAAATCCCCTATACCATGTAAACATTTTATTTATAGTAAAGAGTAAGGTAAAAACAACACAATATAATTCAGTCCAGCTCCATCCGGGACACATACTGAAAATGAGCAGAATCAATAAAAATGTTTCTCAGTGCTGACTGACAGGTGCAACAGATCTAGCTGATAACAATGATTGACAGGTAGCCAAGATAGAGACACCAAGTGTCAGGATATAGAGGTATGGATTTCTTCATTTAATTTTATATTTATTGCCTTACAAATGCATATTTTTTTATTGGATTTAAGTAAATAAATTAAAAAATTCGGGCAAATGACAGTTCCCCTTTAAGGTTAACCCTCTATTCTTACACCTAATACACATAAGCCTAAAACTCGACATCCTTAATATAACTCTAGATTCCGTTAATTCAAACATAAAAAAACTTGATCCCCCAATCCTCTTCCTACATACCTCAACTTTGAACGATAGTCCACAAAAATTAGCATACTCCCTACACCTCTACCAGTGTA